CTCTCTCCTGACATCACGATCGAGACACGTACGTTGCCGGAGGCCGTGGACATATCTAACAATTTGTTTATCTAACCAAAAAATTATTATTATTAAATTTGTATTTGTTTAATGCATCCTTCATTATACATAAGATACTTGAACATAAACAAACCAACAAAATTTTCCACCATCGTTTCTTGGAAATCAAATGTTGGAACGATTCATGAACCACCATCACCCAAATGTAGAAATTCGAGTTTATGATGGTCCAACATAAGAAATGTTTTGGCGGTTTGTTTATGTTGAAAGATCAGAAATTTCTATCATTGTTTCTTGGAAATCAAATGTATACAGAAATTTTAAAGAGATTACTAATTGAGTAGAGTATGCACTTACCGGATTGACCTCTTCATTAGATCGTCGTCTCTGCTCGATGATGTTGTTCCGAGCAGATATCCGACGATTGTATCTGTAAAAATATTCATTACTACCATAAAACTCCAGATACTTCAAATAAAGCAAAACAATGATATACCATTTTTCTGTTCAATACTCCCGCACACAATATATATAAAAATTAAAACAGCCATAAAATATACTCAGTACAGAATAACTCCATTTATGTACAGTGGCCAAAAATGAATTGAGAATCTAACATTGAATATGCTTTATTTTATAATCGGCTTTGAAAAGCCGATCCAGTATTTTGGGTTTACGACTACTAATGTTGAATTCCGTGTCCTTATATGTTTGAACCCAATCCGGAAGACAAGGGAACTTCTGGATCAAGTATTGTGAGACATTTACCTTCGTGGAGGACTTTTTGGTGGAACTGACTCACATTTGCATTACATGGAGTGGAAAACCACTAAAACTTTCCACGGTTAGCCTGACGACAGGGAACTTTAACCTATGATCCGTCAACCACTGAGGGCATTTTATGTTTGCACTGTGGTCGGTGCAAGCCAAATGCGTATCGATCAGCCATTGTTGGGAACCCGGTTCAAATCAATGGAACGCTCTATCTCCTGAGCCATCATGGTTCTAACATTGAATATGGTAATTAATTAGTGCAGAAGATATTTTATGTATCGAAAGAACGACACTAGAATGTACATTCATTGAAGGACCACATCTTTTTCCCCCCGGATTCTTCTAAATATTGAGAGTAGACGCAACCTGGCAGATTGGGTCCCGTTAGTGATGAGGGGGATCGAAAGCATTTCGCGCTGAGACGTTGGGTACTTGTCTAATAGGTCGTGAGTTCGATCCTTGCTGGCCAAAGATATTGTATTAAATAGTGACTGGTGCACGTTAAATCTGTCGGGTCAGTCCCTCAAGTTCCCATAACAAATCAATACCTCTAAATAAACAGAATTGGATATTTATCGTTCTCAGGTCAAAATTAATATCTGAGAAGGAATGGATGCATGAAGAGACTCGCCCCTTTAAAACGGGCTGTGACGTGTGTGTTTGGCAGTCGCATTTGTGGCGTAGATGGCGCAGTTTAAAAACAAGAAATGCACCTTATGCATTTTAACTCACTTCGTTTCATTAAGCAGGCTTGCTGGATTTGGCAAGTGGCATTAAATACAACAAATGCTTATTTCATTCCTTCTGTATTTCGTCATTTTTCCGGAACTATTGGGAAACGAATTTGAACATTTCTTGTACACAATAAAATGGTCTTATTCAAGGATATCTACATATAAAAAATAGTTGATAATTAGTTTCCTTATTCCTGTTTTACTTATAGTGTAAAAAAATTGAATTTGCAGGTTTTAACACTAGAATATTACGAATATTTCAAATCTTCGTAGTTTGAAGTGATGAAAGTTTAAAACTTCTTTGTAATAGCGAAATACGCAAAAAGTTATAAAAGCAAATAATAGCGAAATAAGCAAACATTCGACTGCTCTCCTGGTTGAATTATCAAAATCATATATTCTAAGTTCACTTCCAATATTTTATGCGTTCACACAAGAAAAGGTATGTTTATCAGAGAAGTTAGCTTCTGTGTTACCGTCTGCATTGGTTAATTAACATTTTTAGGGTTAGACCATTAAGACTGAGTCCTAAAACGTGAAAGGTGCATCAATGTTCAGAATGAAACAATATCTTTAATTAATATTTTCTAATGTCTCCGTAATTTACTATCTTTCTTGTGTACACATCATGTTTCTCAAATCATTTTTAAGTTTAGGGTTACTATTAAACTTTTACCTACGTTTTAAACATAGAGCATTTACTAAAGAAAAAGATAGAAAAACCGCTGAGTAAACATACATTCATTTGCCTTCAATAACAATAAAAACATAGATTCTAGTAGAGCTGCGTCTTACTTATTACAATAAAATACATAAACGACAGAAAAAGGTTTTGTTGGTTGCTTCATATTGCTTTCTATAGAACACTTTATTATTGATGTCATATGCCACTAAGGTAAAGGGGGTGAGCTTCTTCTCGTTTATCTATGGCCAAGAATTCGACTTTTGTTACACATGCACGTCACAGCACGCTTACAGAGCAGGCCTATTCATACATCCATTCCTTCAGCCACAGATTGTAATTTTGACCTGAACCAGAGAACGATCCTATTCAGTACCCTCATTAGAGGTATGATTTGGGAGGATTCTGTGACCCGACATACTTAAGGGGGCACCAGTTCACCGTTAACTATACGGGTAGATGAGATTAACGCCCGACCCACTAAACTTTAATATTGATAGCCCACGTATAACATGGAAAATTGGTAAGCAACCAACAAAGGCGAACCGGAAAACCTCAATCAAATAGGAATGTGGAGATAAGGAGCGGAGAGAGATCATTTAATGCATTGAAAGTTGGCGGCCTATATCTTCTAACTAACGCTCCTCACAATTAATTGACTGATCTGTTTTGATTTAAAAACGGATGTTTTCCACGTAATCGCTGGTTTATCAGTACTGACGCTATCACTGTCTTGAAAATGAAACAAATACGCTACATAATATAAACTGATTTCCCCATCACTTTCTACTAATTGTAACTAATTAAATTATTTTATTGTTTATTATTTTTTGTTTCACCGTTGACTATGAGATTCATTATTAATTATATTCAGCTTATTTAGTCCTGTAGGATGATTTATTATAATTAAATTTAAAAATATTTATACCTAATTAGAGTCTTTGATGAATAAAATGTACTTACATCCTGTCGCGGTGGAGCTCCCTACCGCTGACCAGATTGAACTTCTTTAATATAGGTCTATATATAAAAATGACAGGAAAATAATTAGCGAATAAAACAAAATAATATCTAAATATAAATTGATTATATAAATAATAAGTAAAATATTGTCTTGTTTCCCATAATGCAATTGGTGGTAATCATCAATGTAGATCACAGATTAAAATCTACTTTAGCTAGAAGAGGGTTCAAAAGAGAGTTGGACTCACAAATCAGAATTCTTGAGGGTGCCATCTAAATATTTTGATGGTTTATGTTGATAGTTATGAGATTCATGATGGACCAACATCATTTGATGGTTACCATCATTCAATTTTTTTCCATTATGCGTTAATGGTGCTTGATATGCCATCAGACTTCTATCATTCCATGAATGGATAATGCTACTTTAATGCTATGATGGTTAACCATCGAGAAAAGTTTGATTCTCAGGAACCAATAATCCATGATGGTACCAGCTGTATATTTCCGTGAAGTCTTAATGAGAATTATTGATGGTTCTTAGGAATCAAAACAATTTAGTTTTTTTTTTTTTTTTTTTTTATGTGGGCCCATCATAAATATAAAAGGAAGTAAAAGTTGAAACCATGAAAGTCAAGTAAATTAACAATAGTAATGCTAACATTAGTTGCATTTTTTTTTGTTCAACACATTTGCTTGTTTGAACGCTTGGCATCATTTAAGATATCTAAGCATATTTTAGAACTAAAATCAAACAAATAATTTAATAATTACAGCGTTTCTCAATTAGAATTTGTAAATGAAAACGATAAACTAATCGTCTAACTGAATACACGCCTTCTTTTACATAGTCTAGCATGAAACTATTAATTTCTATGTGATAGTAATGAAGAGACAGAACTTGAGGCTGAACGAAAGTATAAACTTTTATGTTTCTACAGTGAAGCCATAGTAATCAACATGTTTATTAATTACTCAAAGACATGTAATCACGTAGTACAAAACGTATGTTAAAATTAAGTGACCGGCGTCCACAAAATGCTTAAGAACTTGTTGCGAAATTTCTAAAGAGACCATTCAAAAACTCACCTTTTTACCATTCTTTTTTTTAAAAAAAATTCTATATCAGTTTAAATATTCTTTTAAGGGATCTTTGTTCTAAGAAAATAAATTTGGAAAGGTAACACTTCGTTTATATATGTCACGGGCAATGTAAATAATTGGGCATTGTTTATAATGCTAGGGCAATTTAAAAAGTGCCCAAAAGGATATGCCAAAATGATAAATTATGTTGCAATTATTCATTCATTACATTGCCCGAATTCATTACATTGCAATAATTCATTACATTGCCCGATCATTATGTATAATGCTAAAAGTCAAGTGGGCAATTTGTGTCACACACAGCCACAGGGTGTCTTGGGATATTCATCCACTTTTAGATGCACCTGGATAATTTTTTTTAAAATTTTTTCCCTCACATGCTCTGTATAAAGCAACTACTTCAATTACTCTTATCTGGCGCAGTTTTTATTATTTTTTTTTAATTTTAAAGCAATAATTTCAGTATCAGTTTAAAATTGATTCAAACGATTTGTTTAATTTTTTTTAATATTTAAGCTATAGCAAAAGTGGCACTAGACCTAGTATATATTTCGGACATTTACCAAAGATCTAGTCATACTAGGTCTGGTTAAGTGCCATTGCCCGGTATATCCTACACTGATGTTTTTTTAAGGTCAAGTGCCACTGCCCGGTATACATTTGCCCAGTCTATCCTACACTGATATTTTTTTAAGGTCAAGTGCCATTGCCCGGTATATATTTGCCCGATACTCCAAGCACTGATGTTTGTTCTAATCTATCGTCAGTAAGTATTATATCGAATAAATGTAATTATATCCACGAATAAATTAGTATCAAATTGGATGTAATAAATATTTCGGACATTCACCAAAGCGACTAATTTGATTGTCAACATTCACCGGTGGACATTGGCCAGCCAGAATCATACCACACGCACGTGGTTGTCCCATTGCTGTCAGTTAATCAAAGTGCCCAAAGAAATAATAGCGGTATTTATAATGACCGGGCAATGTGAGAAATTATCATAAAGTAATTCAAATTTATCAAATTGCCCAATTTTAATGGTCATTATTCATAATAACGAAGCATTATGAATACTGACCTAAATAATTACATTGTCCGTAACATATGTATATATCCAGTTACTGTTGGAAATATTTTATGTGCTATGCAAAATGATCTTTAAATCAACTTATCAATTCTTGAATCTTGAAAATTCTTGAATTCTTAATCAATTCTTGAAAAATATATTTCCTAAAGTGGCGACATCATGTGATAAAAGCCTCTTCGTCTTAGAGAGAAAATTAACATTCTGGTAGAAAACGAAAGCAGTGGTAAGTGATTGTGGATTTGTACCATATCAGCGCGTTTAAACCACCAACGATGGTAATGTTTAAATAACTTTGCGGATGTTTTATATTAATCTAAAACTTGATTTTTTTTTATTTAACGGCAAGGCAAGATATACATTTATAAAATAAATATTGCTTTTGATCTTCGTCATGCGTCTGCACAGAAATAGTACACCAAAGTTTCTTGAAGAGGCTGGTCAGCTAATGTTAATCTTATAGAAGTCAAACTTCTATACACTTCAAAATCAACATCTTCCACAGGAAAGCTTTAGTTTGTTTCACTCCATGATATTTTATCTATTTGTATTTCATAATATGGAAATAATTACGAGAACATAATTTTAAAGAATAATTAATTAAATATATAATTTGATAATTGATTTGAGCCTTTACCTGAAACCTATTGCACATGCTCCGAAAACCTTTCTAAAGAAACTCATTGTGTGCCTAAAAATATAAATTATAGAAACTTATATTATTATCATAACTAAGAATAGAATAAAATAAGAATTTATTTTAATACACAAATCTCTTGAAGAAATTGAATTACTCTTTCAGAAAATATCAATAATTTCTTTTGCGGAATTATAAAGTTTCATTTCTTTTCTTCTATGGAAGCAATGGTAGATAGAATTGATTGAAAGGATAACAACATCTTCTCTCATAGTAAAATCTATTTATTGCTATGAAAACTCGCATTATATTAGTCACACACTAACTCGAATCAATTGCTTGACTTTTTTAAAACTGGTATACGAAATTTTTTCCACACTTTGTCGGGTTTTTTCCCCACAATGTTTAATACTAAAATGGAAGTGATGCACCTCGAAAACATTTAAAGTGATACATTTTAACAATTTTGCAAAAAAGAAATTTTAAATTGCGAAGTTACATTGACTTTTTGAAACTTAAATATTTTAATTTATTTGTTAAAATTAGTTTACTTAAATTACGCAAAATCATTGCAGAAAAAGAGAAAATTTAAACCTAAGCATGTTATAATAAAAGTTAGTGAATATATTGGAAATTATTACAAATGATACTTTGTATTCCTTTGCATTATCTTTTTAATTAACTAAGGGGAATAAATTTGGTTGCTATGAAACAAAAGCTCTTTTAAGCATTCCCATTATTTCAACTGTTTTCAATTCTGGAATTTTACAATTGAAGTGAAAATTCACGATTCAAATGCAATCTTATTTAAGGTTTTTATTAAAAAAAATTTATTGAAGCGTTTGCTGATTATCCAAGTTTAAATGTTTAAGAAAACTTTATTTAGTCGCTTTAGACATTGTTACATTGGATTCAAAAATAATTATTAATGTAAAAAAGGACATAAATGGAATATAATTGTTAGAAAAAAATATGATATTCAACATAACAAGTTTTCCCTCAACATGTACGTAAAACTTATGCTTTTAACAAATCAGGATGTAGATCGCAATTTCAAAACGTGCTGTTTTGCTATGAAACAAAGAAAAAAAAGGAATATTAAAAAAATGATAAATCGAAAAAGTTTTTTTAAAAAGTATTAAGCGTATGTTCACAAAAATTCATTATACTTAAAAAGAGTTGCATTGGACATAAATTAGACTAAATAATCATTAACTGCAATTATAAAGTAACAGTATATAAATTTTGCTTAACAACTTTCTTAAATAAAATTTATTTAATAGTTTTTAAGATACCACTGACATAAAAGTGATAATCATAGAATTGCTTCAGCAAATAATATATGTGAGCTGTCTAAAATTATTAATTTTTGCATTATACTAAAATATATTCTTTGGGATTAAGTAAATAACTTGAAAAAAAATAGTTTTGGGAAGTTTTTAGGAGACAACTCCGACACTACACTTAAGCTAACAGCAACTCTGATTGAAAATATTAGAATAATTGAAAACTTTGACGTTAGATAGACTCTTGCATTGTTTTTTACTTAATTAAATTACAAATTTATCGAGACAAACTTACATACTTTTCAATATTAAAAAAATCAAAATAAGGCATAAATTATTCCACAATTTATTATTTAAAAAAAAACTTACATATTAGAATAGAATTTTATGTGACCCAAAATATTTCGTTCTAAATTCTAAAATTCAATTATAAATGCATAAAGTATTTTGAAGCATCGTCTTTGATAATCACACTGCAGATAAACGATCTTGCATGGAATAAACAATTAAGTATATCAGCTTAAGTAGAGCTAGCTCAACTTACTTTATAAGAGCAACTTCTTGTAATTTTTTCATTACATTTTTATGTCGATTAAAATCTGGTGATTTGGTTAGTCACAGTACAAATGTAATTTCGCCATAACTTAGTCGATGGTGAAACTTAATCTTGTTGAAATCGTTGATTAAGTGGGAACAATTTTTGTATTTATGTTTCTCAATCAGCAATATTTTGTTAACAATTTATGTTTTCAAAATTTACCGAAAAATAAAAGCTTGTTTAGGGAGGATTAGGAAAGTTTGTTCTGTGTATCTTATGGTAATAAAAGTATTTGAGTTTTGAGGATAAAATAAGAAGTATTTGATAAAGTGTATTTAAAATGTTAGGTAAAATTTGCAGTTAGCGTATTGGTTGCATGAGTACAAATAAAAGGGTATATGCATCCTCCAAAGAAAAGATTAATTCGTATATATAGAGTTTCGAGCACAATATTTAATTTTATATCATAACCGTCGTTGGACAGTCGACCCAATATTTGAGTTTACGACTACTCTGTTCAATTCATTAGCCTTGTAATTTTGAACCCAAATCCAAAAGACAAGGGAACTCCTAGATTGGTAGAAATTTTACCTTCGTGAAGGACTTTTAGATGGAACTGACCCACATGTGTTACATACGGTGGGAAACCACGATAACCTTAAGAGGACTCTAACGCATTATCCGTCTACCAACTGAGGATATTTTACGTCAGCACTGTGGTCGGTGCAAACCGGATGCAGAACTTGTATCGACCTGCCATTGCTGAGATTCAAATCAGTTTTCCCTGATTGGAAGGCGAATGCTCTGTCTCTGAGTCTACTCTAATATGAATGCTGCAAATTTAGCATGGAAAGGAGAGATAAAAAAATATGCTCTAGACATTTTTTGTGCTATTAAAAATTTATGCAAGTTAAATTCGAATTATATAGTACTGAAATAATTTTTAAACGTGGTATAAATAACTAATGAACCCCTCCTCACTACCTCTAACCAAGTAATAATGAAAAGCATTTTTTTTTCAATTAATAAAAAAAATAATCGAATTTTTACAATTTATCATACTTTTACAATTAATTTATTATTATTAGATTTTTAACTTTAAAATTATTTGCTTAAAGAAAAATCTAATTGGAATATTCTAAAAGTAAATAAACAGTTATAAATAAGTAGAATAGTTAATAATAAATAGAATAGTTATAAATAAATAGTTAATAAATAAATAGAATCCGAATCTACTGCATTTACAGCAAAAAAATGTCCTATTTTCTCCAACACTATTATTTACATGTATAAAACTTATTTACGTGTATTTATTTATTATTACAATGTATGAAACTGAAACTAAACCTTAAAAACATGGAATTTTTGGTGGTTCATTATGAGGATGACCAACTTCTAAAGAATAGTTTTTTAAAACCTTTTATTTTGTTATTTTCTGCTTTTAAATTTTGTGTATACTAACTTTTTTATGTCATAAAATGATAGTCATTTCGATAAATTTTGCCTCCAGGATTTTGGAAACAAATATTATTTTTTAAGTCAACTGGCCACTTGAAATCTGCGCATAATGACTTCAGTGTTCAAAATATCGATTGACGACTATTTCAAAACAAATTCTGGGTGAAGAACTCGGGGAAGAGATTGAAAGTTGCATCGTCAACAAGAGCATTACTCCAGTTAATTGAAAAAAAATCATATTTTCGATTAACTATAAATTCTATTTCATATGAATAATGCATTTTAACATAATAAAACAAAAGTTATAATCAGGCGCAGAGATCCATTTGCAATCTGCAAAATTATAGTCACAAAGCTGTTGGTGAGATTTGAGCACGCTAGTTAGTTGCGAAATTGTCAGAATTTCGGTTGATGATTGAATCCACCCTCCCAAAAACGAAAGAGACTTAAAGTGTAATGAAACGACCCTCTCTTATAACGCTTTTTTAATCTGTAGAGGGGATGTTTCTAGATTTTTGTATTCAAACCCCAAGATGCTTATTTACACCACTATTTTTAAATTGCATTAAAAGCCACTGTAACAATATTTTGAAAATAAGTTTCCGTAAAACAATAGTAAGAATTAAAAAAAAAGTAGTTTTCAAAAAGATGGTTTTGAGGAAAAAGCACCTGGTTCATATACAACTGATATATTTCCGTTTATGGAAATAATTCAATTTTTCAATCTATGATTTATTTCAAAAGTTTTGGAATATTTGTTCAGATTATGACATTTGCTAAATTTTAATCCATGTGTATAGCTAAACGCTCAACGCTTTACAAATTTTTACAATAATTTGCTTTCAATGCAATATTCTTCAGTTTATATTAAATGTATTTAAAACCTTACTCTTAGTTCATAAAAAAAATTTAAATATTTTATAATACAATTGAAACATTATGTTGCATAATTTTTGGGGAAAGATCGTCATCAATAATTTCGCCTTTTTATCTGAATATTTTGTTTCAAAATTTTTAATTATGGTTTCCTTTGTTTGACATAAGTTTGTCTATAAATTATTTTTTCTAATTCCTAATAGTACTTTATTTAAATAATACCTGTTATCTTTGCTTTTTCTTAATTGTAGTTGCTTTAAGAATAATCAATCATCAGTAAAAGAATAATCAAAAAATGAAAAATAACAACACAAAGAGATTGCGGAAGGCACACTTAGAATAACTTTCGATTCGATATCTACCAGAGTTTCTTCTACTCGAGCACAATCTTAATGATCCCAGGAGCATAAGTGAAAAATTGATTTGCGCAGTTTATATTTTTAGTTGCAAAATCAGAAAATGAGTAGTTTAATTGTTTTCCATTCATATTTAAAAATCAATAATCGAGTTTGTAAAATGAAGAAATTTCAGTGATTATTAACTGTTTCTCTTAGATTTCTAAATAAGTGCAAATTTCAAATTGTTTGGAAGTGAGCCGCGTTTTGAAGATTTTACCTTTAATGCAGAAAAAGACACCGGTAAATATATTTTTCACTTATTTTGACCAACGTCAGCACATAATAAATAAAAAAGTATGAAATATATATGTTTAATTAAAGTTTGTTTATCGCAAACAAAACTTCTGACCCACATTTTGCTAAGCCACTTCATTTGGGCGAAGTATTGTTTTGGTCAGCAGTTCCTAAAAAGTGTTCTATAAGGGTCTGTGAGATGTTAGCTTTTTTTTTATCCAGCTGCAATTATATTAAATTAATGATCCATAATTTATTTAATATTTCTGAACTTTATAGGAAATAAATTACATAAAATTCTAATGAT